AACAAAATCACTAAAACACCCACAGCCATAGTTAAAAATTTGTAAAAAGTTAAAACCTCATCTCACAACATTTCCACTTACTCGATTTTTGCAATGCAGTTCTCCAGGCAAGCAATGTGTATGAAAATGGACATTCCACAATAGCATGCCTAAAATTGCATATAATAGTGAAAATAACAGAAAGATTCATTGAATGAGGAAAAAATGTTTTGTAAAAACGTGTGTATTGGGCAAAATTGCATAAAACATGAATAATATGGGAAATTTACACTAAAATGCCATTGAATTTCCAAGCTAATGTGGATAATTAAGATTGGAAGACAATGCTATTTGCTTCCAGAAATAATCCATTTGAAAATCGTATGGAATTGAGAGAACTATGTTCTACTATGGGTCCGGAAGTGGAAAGCTCGCATATAATAGGGAAATTTAGGGGAAACTGAATAAACTACCATGGGAATATAGACATAAAGCACTGAAATCTGCCACTGAAAAATGCCGTAAGGTGGAGCACTCCTGTTCAAGCTTCCAGCCAGCCACATTCAATTCTGGAATACTTCATTCCATCCCCACGTTTTCCAGTTTTCTCCCTTCTCTTCCTGCAAAAAAAGACTCAGCATATCAGGCCTGCTGAGCTTCCTGTTCTCACTGAACTATTGGGCAGTCCCACTCCCATTAGTGTCCCCCCCCCCTAAGAATTGTTGTTGTATTCTGCCATCCTTGATGTTCCCCCAGGTCTGCTGACCTCTTTCACTTGTGTGTGGAAGTACCATTTTGGCTACATAAACATCCACACTCAGAGGATGAGGTTGTTGTTAGTCTAAAACAACCTTCACTAACCAATGCAGTCTAGTAGTTTGATTGTCAGACTAGGACCTGGGAGACGAGGGTTCAAATCCCCGTTCAGTTACGACGCTCACTGGGTGACCTTGGTCCAGTCACCGGCTCTCAGTCTAACCTACCTCACAGGGTTGTTGTGAGGATAAAATGGGGAGTGTGAAAACAACCTATGCTACCTTGAGCTTCTTGAAGGAAAGGTGGGATATTGAAAAATGTAATAGATGGATAAATTAGAAACCTGGCACCTTCCAGATATTTTGGACTACAGTTCCCATCAAACAGGATGTTACCGTATTTTTCGCTCTATAACACGCACCTGACCATAACACGCACATAGTTTTTAAAGGAGGAAAACAAGAAAAAAAATATTCTACACGAAACAGTGGATGTACGATTTTTGTGGTTCATGCTGTGGCACCAGACAAGTGATCTGACGGTGAGTTTGGGGTAGCCCAATGCAAAAATCCTGAGGATCCATGTGGATCCGTGCTTTGTAACCACATTTTAAGTGGGGAGGGAGGGAAAAGCACTCAAGGGACAAGGAACACGCATGGGGTGGGTGGAGAAGGATGCTATTAATAATGCAGAAGAGGGGTATAAGAGGAGAAGGCTCCTCTCCTCTCCCGCTTTGCTCCTTTAAAGGCTCTGCTTCTCTCCCTCCTCCCCGGCTTGCTGAAAAACTTTGCTGCTATTTAGCCAGCTGAGTGGGGAGGAGAGAAGGCCAGAGAGCCTGCTTGCGAAAAACTTTGCTGCTATTTAGCGAGCTGTTCTCTCCCTCCTCCCCGGCTCGCTGAAAAAAACAGCTCCAGACTCGTGTAAGCGGCCCCTCTCCTCTCCCGCTTTGCTCCTTTAAAGCAAGCAGGCTCTCTGTCCCTCTCTCCTCCCCACTCAGCAGCTCTTCTCCTGCTTTGCTGTTTCAAAGTGAGCCATGGAGGAGGGAAGGAAGGGGAACCATGGATCCTCTGCTCACGACTGCAGCAGATCCCGCCGCCATCCGTAGGCATTCGCTCCATAACACGCACAGACATTTCCCCTTACTTTCTAGGAGGAAAAAAGGGAGTGTTATAGTGCAAAAAATACGGTATATTGTGTTTTCCAATCACATGTAATATTTGCCTGCTTCAAGTTTCATTTTGAAAGAAAGCTAGGGTTCTTCTTTTTAATAAATTAAAAAACCAGACAAAATAAAATAAGCCCGAAGAACCGAGCATACTGTCTTGTATCCCTTCTAAGAGACACAACGCCCAGCCTAGAAAAGGTCAGGAAGGAAATCCCACATCTCATAACAATTGCCCGCACTTCCTCCATGCTCGCTTCACTTCAACAGAGGCATATTTTTGGGAACTACAGTGATAACATCTGGGCAGAAAACATCTGGGTGCGCACAACGTCTGGAGTTTCTTGGGACTGTGCATTTAGGTGAGGCACCCAAAAGACTCATCCTTGCTAACACTATAACCATTTTCACAGGCTGCCCTTGAATAAATGCTTCTTTTAAAAAGTGCTGCGTTTTTGCAATTCACCCACCCTGCCACCACCATCACGCTTGCAATAAACTGTTTCCTAGGAACTGGAAAGTCTCCGTGTGAACAAACATTTTGTCACTGTTTGTCTCTAAGATGAAAGAAGAAGTTTTTCAACATGACAGGCTGCCGTTCAGACCTGTCAGAAGCCATTTTATAAGGAAAATGTAACATCTATCCAGTAAACGGGCAGGCCTTGTCCAGCCTGTCAGCGAAGCAGCCTCAAGTCTCTGCCCTTCCTTTTCAAACCAGTTCATATCCTCTCCCTTTGAACAACTTTTGTTCAAATAAAGAGATAGATTTTTAAAAAAAAAATGCACCAAGAAGATCTGCATGAACAAGAAATTACACTGCAGTCATACCTCAGGTTGTGAACGCTGCGGGTTGTGCATTTACAGGTTGTGGACCGTGCCGAACCCGGAAGTACCGGAACGGGTTATTTCCGGGTTTTGGCACTTGCTCATGCGCAGAAACACAAAATGACATCATGCGCATGCGCAGAAGTGCCGAATCATGTCATGAGCATATGCAGGCGCGGCGTTGTGGGTTGCGAATGTGCCTCCTGCATGGATCATGTTCGCAACCTGAGGTATGACCTGAGGTATGACAATAACTTTGCACAGGCCCATTTTGGTCCATTTGACAAAGCTTGCAGCTAAATTAAAGATATTTCATGGAAGGGTTTTGAAGAAGCGTATCCAGTACATATGCTATGTGTAGAAGCTTTCTCTTGCCTAAATACTGCCCGCAAGTTCTCAAACAAATCTTCATTTCCTTGGGGGGGGGGGTGGAGTAGATGCTTGCACTGCAACATAATAAAATAACTGCTCCTTGGATATTTTCTCCAGGCGCCCATACGCCCATAAACACAGGCGGCACATTCATATCATCCCTGAATTTAAGTGCTGGGATAATGTATTGGAGAAGAACATCAAAAGATGCGATGGCCAGAGGTGCCTGCTTTTTTCCACTTGCTGAGAACACTTCCCTGCAGAATAACTGGCAGTCCCCAAGACGCAGTGAAAATAACAGTAGAAACTTCCCTGCTCCCAGCCCCAGAGCTGAATATTGTATTGGACATTATTTATGGGGGAAAACAAATGTTTGTTTGTTTGGGAGTGTTCATGCTGCTGCCAGCCAAATCACCCATAAGCTACAGGTATGCTCAACACTACTCTGAAACAGGGTTTCAAATAAATAAATAAATTCTAAAAATGCACGTTTGGGGCCTGCAGCAACAGGAAGATTAGTAGACAGTGATTTCCGCCAGCCATTTTTCTAGCTAAAATTTATGCCAGTTGTTTTCCCTCTCCAGGCGGAGAGACAGAACCCTATTTATTTTCCCTTGTGGGAGGAAAGCAGCTAGTGGGAGGTCTGTTTTCAGTAGAAAAATGGCTGGTGGTGAAAGAGTTAAGGGCTCCTTTATTTATGTGCCCCATTCTCATTCTCAAGGCTGCTTTTCATATAACCCCCCCAACCCCAAGCCCATTATTTGTAGAATACCTGTGTTTAATATATTTTGTTAGTCAAAAGTCTACTAAGACTAAGCCATGTATTTTGACAGCCCACATTGCAATGTATATTTTTCTTATTTCGATTTGTATTCTCGCAACAGGTAGGCTGAGGGTGTTATGTACTGAAGTTCTCACCCTGGGCCAGCAGGGGGATACTGTAGATAGTTTTCACTCAGGTCCACATATGCAAATAAGGGATCGAAAGTGACGTTCAGTGATTGGATAGTTACAGAAAATGGTTACTGTTGCGTTCTAGTGCAGCTCCATACAAGCAGGCTGGCTGAACCCTTCAGTTCAGTTCTGTTCTGGCCTGTGAATAAACAAGAGCTGTTTGCAGAATTGCTGTGTCGTCTGATATGCTCACCCACAACTTAAGAGAGAGTGCCTTAGCAAAAGCCACGTTTCTTTCTTGTTAACTTGGGTCTTCCAAATCTCTCTTCCCCACACTTGCTCAGGTTTACTTTCAATGCAGTGGCTGGAATCAGAACCCACGTTGCTGTGTTAATGTGCTTGAAGCTTAGATGTGCTTAGGACTTAACATGTAAGGAGATCCTGATCTTAAATTAAATCGGTCAATTTGAAGCAGAGCACTTAAGCTTAACTGGTTTGTGGATTAGCTGATTCTGAAGGTCCCTTCAAATGTGAACCTTTTAAGCACAAAGCAATGCAATAAATTGTCGTTTGTGTGTGTACTTCAAGAGATCAGAGATGATGCTTTTGTACACAACACATATCCCATAGCTTATTAAAATCTAATCAAGCAACTGCCAAAACTTGCAAAAAAAAAAGTTTGTCACTTACTTGGCAGCAAGTCCCATTGAACATAGTGGGGCCTTCTTCTGAGTAAACATGCTTAGGATTGTAAGCAAGTAAAGCGGGGAGAAATGTGAGTCACTTGTGCAGGTGGATCCTAGCAGTGAGTCCAACTGAGTCCAATTAGACTTCCTTTCAGTGCATAGTAGTAAGTGTAAATTGGATTGCAATCTTAGGCTGTGAACGCATTCTGGTTTGCTTTGCATCCAATGTGCTCTCACTGCTAGTCTACAAAATAATAGATTTGTAGAGTTGGAAGGGACTCTGAGCATCATCTAGTCCAACCCCGCGCAGTGCAGGAAAATGTAGCTGTCCAACACGGGGATCGAACTTGCAGCCTTGGCATTATGAGCACTATGCTCTAACCCACTGAGCTATCCAGGCATGCAACATTAGTGATCAGTCAAATCTATCCTCTTATTCATTTAAAATGAAATATTCTGTTTTAATGCTTTCCCCCACAAACCAGCTATGATTTGGACTGAAGAAAAAAAAAGAACAACTTAGCTGCATTTTAAGCCAGTAAAGTATGCACAGTCTTTGAAGAAAACTACATGTGAACTTGGTAAATGCCAGTGTAAAGGTAAAGGGACCCCTGACCATTAGGTCCAGTCGTGGCCGACTCTGGGGTTGCGGCGCTCATCTTGCTTTATTAGCTGAGGGAGCTGGTGTACAGCTTCCAGGTCATGTGGCCAGCATGACTAAGCCACTTCTGGCGAACCAGAGCAGCACACGGAAACGCTGTTTACCTTCCCACCGCAGCGGTACCTATTTATCTACTTGCACTTTGATGTGCTTTCAAACTGCTAGGTTGGCAGGAGCAACAGGAGCTCACCCCGTCGCGGGGATTCAAACTGCCAACCTTCTGATCAGCAAGTCCTTGGCTCTGTGGTTTAACCCATAGTGCCACCCACGTCCCAAATGCCAGTGTAGTGGATTGCAATAAGAGTGTTGGACTAGGGTCTCTCACAAACACTGTACATTCAAAGCACATCTATGCCACTGGGACAGTCATGGCTCTCCCCCACCCCGCAAATAATACTGGGCACTGAAGCTGACCCCTCCCAGCACCCCCAACAAACAACGGTTGCCAGTTTTCTTTGGCTGTTAAAGTAACAGGTAAAGTGATATAAGAGTACTTTGTATGTACTTTGTGTGGATGTGACCTAGGAGTCAGGAGACCTAGGCAGCAATCAGGAGACCTAGGCAGCTATGGTGAAGAAGCTGGTGTAAAGCAAGCAAGGAGCTGTAAATTAAGCCCAAATTAAATTGCACTGGATTCAACCCCTGTTCAGCAGCATGGTTGCCGCTGCTGCTCTGGCTAAGCCTGCCAGAGAGAGAAAGCAAGTCTTTAAAATACGGCTCTGTGTTGCGTTTCAAGGTCATATGACTGAGATGAATGGGCTTTGGTTCCAGCCTAAGTCCTCTTGCTCTCTGGTTCTGCTCCCATCACACCCTTAGGATGCTCCACCTTTGGGGGATTTACACTGGCCTCAGCTCAGACTACGCCAGCTGAGCTGGGATAAGCAAGAGTATCTTTGGCTGAGCCAGGAATTAGCTGTCTGAGCTGTAGATCTGCTGTATCCTAAACAGAAGATGCTCGTTCCCCATGGATCTTGCCATAGGAAGAAAACTTTTGACAAAGTAAGGTGCACCACCTGCCCCCCAACTGCTTCCCTTTTGTGGGTGGCATTCGGATGCATCCTGAGAGGTTTGGGTCTGTGGAATTAAAGCAGATCCGAGTGCTTTGTCACCCTGGTGCAGCAAATCTGCTTTAAAAAGGTGGTTCAGAAAATGTCAGAGAAATGCATTTAAAAAGCACAAAATGAATGAAGGCTTCACAGGAAGATGAAGAAACAATGCATGAGCAAATCACAATGAATCTTCATTGTCAAATAGCCTCCATGGAAACAAATCAGGACGACAGCTCAATAAAAAGCAGACATAATTTAAACTCCATGAAAGCTTTGTGCAACGCATTGCAGGGGGTTAGACTAGATGACACTTGTGGTCCCTTCCAACTCTTCTATGATTCTCTGAAATGGGTCATCTGGAGGAGACCTTAAAGGGCAGGTTTCAGAACAGAACTAGGAAAAAAATGTCTGAGCGCCAGATAAGGAGAATCAGTGTGGCATGTCGTTCAGCCAATCTCTGCTTCTCAGGCTAATCTACCTCACAGTGTTGTTGCTGGGACTGAATGTGGAGACAGAGGAGGAGAACTGTATACCCACCTTGAGCTCCTTGGAGAAAAAAAGTGGGGTATAGATGCAATAAATAAAAACAAATAAAAACATACATTATCTCAGTAATTCTTAACAGCATCCCTTGCTGGGGGTGCAGAGGGGGGCATCTGAGGCTGAGAGAGAGGCAATGTGTGGCTTGCTGAAGTCCACCTTGTGAATTGACGGGCCGAGCCAAGATTCAAACGAAAGGCTTCCTCGGGCTTCCCATTGTCTCACACCCGCTCCCATGGCATAGCATACAAATCGCATGGCAGACAAACAGGCTTGCTTTCAGCAGCTTACAGAAGCAGAGCTACAATTGCTCAGTGGCAGGGGATGTGTCTTGCATGCAGAAGGCCTTCCAATTCAAAGCCTGGCATCTCCGGTTAAAAGGAATTTAGAGAGCAGAGCTTGGAACGACCGCGATGCTTGACATCTTAAGAAAGCCGCTGTCTGTCAGAGCTGACAACATCAGGCTGCGGAACGCAGTGGCCTCGTTCAATATAAGGCAGCTTCATACATCAATCATTTTTTATAATTGGATTTTTCTTTCTCTTTTTAGTTTGAGAAGCCTTTCAAAAATGGAATGTTTGGTGGTGCTGGTGGTGAGTTGCCAGAGGCTGGGGGAAAAGAGAACTCAGATATATTTATACAATGATGAATCCAGCATCCTGGTCTCACCACTGGGACATAAATTCTTGACCACTCGACCCTCCTGAAGTCTCCAGCAAACTGGTATTCGGAAGCTTACTGCCATTAATAGTGTTATCCTCTGTGAATTTGTGGATTTCTCTTTCAAAACCATCCAAGTTGGTGGCCATTGCTACATACCTTCCAACATTTCTCTGATGAAAATAGGGACGCCTTATTCCATCATTATTTTATAATTTATACCCCACCCATCTGACTGAGTGGCCCCAGCCACTCTGGGCAGCTTCCAATATATATAAAAACACAATAAAACTATTTTTACAAAGCTTCAGATGTCTTCTCAAGGTTGTCTCCTTGGCTTGGAGGTCACATAACTCCATACCCTCCAACATTTCTCCAGTGAAAATAGGGATGTCTTAAGGAAAGCGGGACATTCCAGGATCAAATCAGAAACTGGGACGGCTTCTGTAAATCTGGGACTGTCCCTGGAAAATAGGGACACTTGGAAGATATGTTGCTACAGTCTCACTATGGAATTCTTCCTTTGATGTAGCCTGAGTCTTTCAATGTTTGGCTTCATTGAGTGGTCTGATCCCCAGCCATGATTTAGGGCTTTAACCAGCACTTTGAACTGTCCCTCCAAACAAAGTAAAGCCTGGTAACAAAGTACCACTGTCCTCAGCTATCCCCTAAGAATCCAGAAGCATTTATAAAAAACATTTAGTCTGCATTGTAACTGTTTAACCAAACCAAAAATGTTACAGTTCTGAAATACTAAATTGCAACTCGTTGTAAAACAACACATCAAACACAAGTCCAATAGCAACAACAATTACACAACGAAACCTCCAGCCACAGCTGCAACCCTGTCGACATTTACTTGGGAGTAAATGACACTGGATATAATTGCACTTCCTAGTAAACACTGCACAGACAAGCCACAGTCCTCTGGGCACTTGTTATAGGAGTGAGCTCCCATTCAGCTCTGTAGAACTTGTCTTAGAAACACGTATATGATCAGATAGCAAGACACCATGAACAACTGGAGCCTATTTTTTATGTAAATGGGAGGAAAACGTACCAGATGGGAGGAGTCCTGCTATGTTTCTTCATTATGAGCTACAAGTAGGGTTTGGCCCTGGATTTATTTTATACATCCAGGCTCATTCCTGGAACAAACTAGGCACTTCTAAAGAATCCATCTGAGCATGTGCTGAGTGCCCTGCCCTCACCACTGAACAAAGTATAGCTTGGGTTTAAAGAGAGAAGCTAAGTTCCAGGTCAGCGAGAGCCTCTCCAACAGTTTTAGCTCTCCTCGTGTGTGTGTGTGTACTATACTGCAAAAAAGCCAGGGACCTCTTTCCATCAACTGTCACCGGGCAGCAGTCATTATATGCAGCGAAGTGGACAGGGCCTCCCCATCGAACAGGTGAGAGGCCAGCACCGTTTGGCACTTTCTTTCCTCCAACTCTTCAACCCACGCTAGTCATTGGAAGAACTTGTAATCAAGACATTGAACTTGATCCAAACGGGCAACACATTCTTGTTCAATCTTCGAACAACAGTGGCCACCTTTTAAGCACGCTGTAAAGCGCGGACACCGCCCCGAGCCATTTGGTCCCAATCGGCTCCAAAACAGAGCACTCCGCACATGCCCAGAGGGCTGGGGCTCAGCAGCCTTAGCATCACTTTAAAGGGGGGAGGGGGAGTCCTTGACAGCCACACGCATAGGCCACTTCGCCTGTTAAGGGCACCCACCAAGCTGCGCAGGAAAGCGCGCGCGGAAGGCGCAGCTCCGCCTCTCGCTTCCCTCCCTCCTGGGAGCGCGCGGCTTCGGCGAGGAAGCGAGCGGCGCTGGGCAGGGCTTCAGGGGGCGGGAGCCGGGGAGCCTCTCCCGCCTGCGACGCTTCCTCGGGGAGGCTGCTTCTCCGCCGCCGCTGCCGCCAGTGCTCCCGCCTCCTCGGCTCCCTCGGCAGCCAGCAGCCCGCACTTTGCCCCGGCTGTGCGTGTGCGGGAATGTGGCGGCGATCGCGAAGCGGAGCGCCGGACGCCGCCACCGCGCTCTGATGGGCGCACACGCTGCGCGCTGCCCGCTCCGTCCCCTTCGCCCGCCTCGCTCGGGGGGCTGCCCGGAGGCGACCGCGCCATGAAGAAGGAAGCGGCGGCGGCACCAGGGCGCAGCGGGGCCAGCTAGATCTCCCCGGAGAAGGTAAGGGTCGCCTGGGAAAGTTTCGTGCCTGCGAGCGACAGACGGCTGCAACCGTCGCCTTTTTTGCTTGGGAATAGTTCCACGCCATAGATATATATCCCGATCGCTTTTTAAAAACTATCTACATTCATAGATATGGGTTTCTCTCTCTGCCCTCGTGATCAGCGCCCTCTCCTTAGAGCGGTTTCTTTTTAAAAGTGCCGGAGATGTCAAAGTTGGGGTGGTGGTGCGGGAATTTCCTCGTCTTCCCCCAGGAAAAGGGGCTATTTCCCCCAAAGGCTCTCCTTTCCGAACAATGCAAGCGAAGCGAGAATGGCAAACCTCATTAAGAAAGCGCCAACTAGGGACTGCTTTCCCAATGGAGCAAAAAATACCTAGGTTGTGGAGAAGGCATTGGTGGTGGGTTTTTTTTTTAAAGGGGGTGGCGTCCTAGTTCTAGAAGACCCCCACCCATCCATTTCCCAGCAGCTTTTGACTCAGGAGTCAAAATGTCGATGGCTGGACGCAGAACTGGGCTGTCCAAACGAGCGCACGGGAGCGCAGTCAAGCAGTGTGGGGGAAAGGGTCGTGGGGACGGCGTGTTGGCTCTGGAGTGGGGAAGGAGAGGAGCTCTGTGCATGCCCAAGCGGTGTCTGGCCTTTGGGAGCATTCTGCACTTGCTCCCGCTGATCTGGGAACGAAGTCAGGCGCGGACTTCCGCGTTCGCGAGCGTTTTGGGTGGTGAGAAAGGGAAGCGAGTCTGCCGCCCTTTAGGCACGCAGGAATAATAAGAGCTGGTGGAGCAGGCAGGCAAAGGGCAGCAGGCGTCCTAGGAAAGAGGCTAGTCCGCATTGTTCACATGCCCCCTTTCTGTCATTGCTGCGCTGTAAATGGGCTCACAGCAGATACAAATACGACATTCCATAGCAGCCGAAAGCCTACAGGAAGACCACAGGAATTGTGCAAGGAAACTTCACTCACAGGGTCTGCACCTTGGGCTTAGGTACCCAGCACAGTCGCCTTCTCATGGTCCCCTTATAACAGGGGATGTGGAACTTGTGGCTCACCTCTCCAGATGTTGTGGGACCACAGCTTCCATCACTGACTATTGAATCTGCTATCTGGGGTTGACGTAACCTGGAACCCAACAATATCTGAAGGGCCACAGGTAGAAATAGATGAATCTGGTCATTTCAGCCTTCTTGGTTTCTAATTTTTCTAGCCTCAAATTCAGCTCTCCACATTTCCACAATAATCTGTGAATTCGTCATATGTGTGTATATATATATATATATCCTCATAAAAATTAACCAGCATTTTAGTTCGGACATCTCCTAATAAACACAATATTGTGTGCAGTTTTGAGTTGCTGCAAGCAACTTCCCCTAATGCAATACATTTCTGTATGCGGTTTTCAAGAATAAGTGCATTTTAATGCACAGACCTCCCTAATGTATGCACTTTTGTACATACTGTTTGGTTGGAGAACTGCATTGCAAAATTAGGAAATGTGCGGGTTTCAAAGGATGCCGTGCTTTCAATCTGTAAAATTTACTTTCTGATCTTCCGTTCTCTCTAGCTCAGCCTTTGCTAACCTGGTGCCCTCCAGACACTACAACTACCATCATCCGCAGCCAGCACTTGTTGGCTGGAGCTAATGGGAGTTGTAGTCTGACAACATCCAGAGGGCAGCAGGTTGGTGAAGACTGCTCTAGCTTACATTATCCTTTATGTCCTTTTGTCTCCTGGCCCCTCTCCCTCTTTTCCTTCCTGCCATCTCTGAATTCCAGTGATGTGGAGCTTCTGCAAAATTCCGAGAATTCTCTGGATTTCACTGGATGGGAAAATCTAGAAAACCTTGAAACCAAAAACTGTGTGTGAAGGTTTTCTGGATTTCCCCTCCTTCCCTACGACCCAATATCCAGAAACTCTCTAGTGCCCTACATCGTTTAAGGATCTGTTTATTTGACTTAATTTCAGTAAACAACAACAAAAAGTGTGCTGTGTTAATGTTATGTGTTATATAAATAAATATCTCAAAATGTTTGGTGTTCCTCCCCCACCCCCAACAAGCTTTATTTGGAAAATATTTTTGTTGTAAATATTTTAAAGATTTGGCAACTCAACATCATATACTTTCCTTACATTGTTTCTTGGTTCCCCCGCTTAAAATGTAGGCACAGAAAACTGTTCACATACTAATTTTAGCTGCAGCTCCTGTAATGGTTAGAGTCCTGGACTAGGTCTTAGGAGAAAAAGTGCTCAAATTCCACTCAGCCATGAACTTCGTTTGGGTCAGTCACCATCTTGACTTACGGGGTTGTTGTGATGATAAACCGGGGGCCATTTGTGGCACCCCGGGCTCCTTGCAGGAAAAATGGGTTATAAATAATAATAATAATAATAATATTAAATAATAAAAAAATAGAAGAGGAACCCCCCCAACAAAGGTAACCGCAATTTCGAAAGTGCCTTGTTTGACTGGCCTCACATTCATTTTGTGATTCTACTGACAGCACAATCCTAACCATGCCTGCTACCATATAAGTCCTATTAAATTCAATGGTGCTTACGCTCAGATAAGTGGGGTTAGGATTGCAGTCTAATTCATTTTATGGGGGGGTGGAGAGTCACCAGAAAAAAACAGCAACCCAATATTAGCCAGTATCACTGGTGCAGTCCTGATTCATAAGCTTCAGTAGAGGCTGTCCCCCCCCCCCCAACTATTTTCTGTTGGGTCAGGATTGCAACATCTGTGCCTTCCCCTTTGTTTGGCTTGACTAAATTTGGAACATATTCTCTTCCCCACCTCTTGATTCTGTCATTTCTGTTCTGACCCCCATTTGGTCTTTGCTATCACTTCCTGGTTTTGGCTCTTTGCTGACGGCAAACCAGACTGGGAAGTGAAGTATCCACAGTGCAAGAAGAGCTAGCTGAGGAAGAAAATCAGCCTGGCTCCCTGGAGATGGTTGAAACCACCATAGCTCATGTTGGCTGAATTTGCAGGTGAACCTCAGCACTTCTCCATCTTCCTACCTGGTGCGTGGGATACCAGTTGGAAACGCAAGCTGCTTTGACAGAGGGGTGGGGGAAGCGTGATATACTGCTGTCTTGGATAGCTAGCAAGTAAATAATGCCTCTGCTAAATTTTGCTTTGCTTTGCACTGAATTCATACTGCTCTGTTCAGTTTGGAACTGCCGTATGTGTTTTTCAATTACAGTGGTTGCATTTGTTTTTTTTTTATAATTGCATATTCCTTATGGCACCTTATGGTGAAGGGCAGGTGAGACGTTTTAGAAACAAATTAAAATGTGGCATTGAGGGAAAGGGCCGTAGCTCAGTGCTAGAACATCTGCTTTGCATGCAAAAGATCCGGGTTCAATCCTCAGCATCTTCAACTGGGGTTGGGAAAGGCTCTTTGCTGAAGGCATGGAGAGCTGGGTGGCACAGTGCTCTGAGTCGGTGTAAGGCGGCTGTCAATGAGAGGAAGGGAAATAGCAGAGAAAGCTGAGGAAAGAAGCTCAACAATGTTTTGTGAGTAAGGCAGAAGCGGGGAACTTGCTGGGGTAGGGGAGAACTGCTACACCAGCTTCCAGGCCGTTTTTGGGTCACTGGTGCTTACTGGGAGGGGAAAGGGTGAGGCAGCCAGCAATAAACAACAGCAGGCCACCTGCCGGACAGCTAGCATAGCAGCTCTGTGCGCACCCCCCCCCACCCCGTTCTGGAATTATGGTATGCCAGGGCCTGTTCGCACAGCCATCAGAATAGCAACTAGCTAACACACTTGGGCAAATTCACAAGAACTGTCAGCACGCCAAAAGAGTCAACTCACAGAAGGTTTACAGTTTAACCCCCTTCGCATGGATCTGTGGTAAGTGAAAACTGCACGATGGACATTCATTTTTTGGTTTCTTGAGTCAAGATATACACAAGTCTTTTGCCCATGCCCTCCACTTTTTGGCTCCTCCCTTCACCACAAGCCACAATTAAACCAGGAAGTCTCTACTTAACCATAGTTTCTTGTTTTGTCTGAACCAAAACTATGGTTGATGGCTTCAGAACAGGCCAGAATATGAAATCATGGCTTGAAGTTGAGTTAGCCAGATAGTGTCGATGTTTTGGACTACAACTTCCATCAGCCCCAGGCTGATGGAGGGCACCGTGAGGACTTCTCTGGTTTAATAGCTGAGCTTGTTCTGAAGTTGTAGGTCCCCGGTTCAGATGAACAGGAAAAGTGTGGTTTTAGAAGCTTCCTGATTTAACCGTGGCTTGCGAAAAGGGAGGAGATGTGGTGCTTCTTGTGTGAGCAAAAGGCTTATAAATATCTCAGCTTAATAAGCCAAGATATGATTGTCTGAACAGACTCATGAAGAGGAGGCTGGATCTTTTCCTGCCTTTTCCTTAGATACTTTCTTTGTTTTCCTCCAGAGACGCTTGCTGATACCAGGCCTCTAGATCCATCTATGTGACTTTGCTGGAGAAACCATGACCGAAGTCCTCCTGACCGCTGTTCTGAACGGGACTGAAAACCACTCGCTGGCTAGCAGCGGATGGACGTCGAACAATGTCACCAGCAAGTGCTTGCTGACCAAAACTGGTTTTCAGTTCTATTACCTGCCTGCTGTCTACATCATAGTCTTCATCACTGGATTCCTGGGCAACAGTGTGGCGATCTGGATGTTTATCTTCCACATGAGGCCTTGGAGTGGCATCTCGGTTTACATGTTCAACCTGGCGCTGGCTGACTTCTTGTATGTCCTGACTCTTCCTGCACTGATCTTCTATTACTTCAATCAAACCGATTGGATCTTTGGGAACTTCATGTGCAAGCTGCAGAGGTTCATCTTCCATGTCAACCTGTATGGAAGCATCTTGTTCCTCACTTGCATCAGCGTGCACAGGTACACAGGTGTGGTCTACCCCTTGAAATCGCTGGGGCGGCTGAAAAAAAAGAACGCCGTCTACATCAGCACCTTGGTTTGGGGGGTTGTGGTCACTGGGATTTCCCCCATCTTCTTCTACTCTGGAACTGGGGAAAGGAAAGTCAAAACCATGGCTTGCTACGACACGACGGTAGACGACTACCTACGAAGCTACTTCATTTACAGCATGTGCACCACGGTCTTCTTGTTTTGCATCCCGTTCATACTGATCCTGGGTTGCTACGGATTAATCGTGAAAGCACTGATTTACAAAGATTTAGACAATTCCCCGCTCAGGAGGAAATCGATTTACCTGGTTATTATAGTGTTGGCGGTATTTGCTGTGTCTTATCTCCCCTTTCACGTGATGAAAAACTTGAATCTACGAGCCAGGCTGGATTTCCAGACTCCAGAAATGTGTGCCTTTAACGACAGGGTTTATGCCACTTACCAAGTGACTCGGGGGCTGGCGAGCCTCAACAGCTGCGTGGATCCTATTCTGTATTTCTTGGCTGGAGACACGTTCCGAAGACGGCTGTCGAGAGCAACCAGGAAAGCTTCAAGAAGGAGCGAGCTCAACGTGCAGTCAAAAAGTGAGGATATGACTCTCAGCATTTTATCCGAGTGTAAACAGAATGGAGACACAAGCTTGTGAATAACAGTTTAATTTTCCTTTTGCAAGCAAGCAAGCACTCTCATCCCCCTTTCCCTTATCCCCACCCTTCATTTTTAACCCATGTAAGAATCTAAATTCTAATTTTCAAGAAAACTTAACAAGCGGACAATTTATTTTGTTTCGTTTTGTTTGAAAAACATGCCGTGTGAAGCTAGGAAAAACGTGGGGAAAGTAAGTGTCAAATTCTTTAAAAAATTAAATGGAAAACAGTATGGGAGGTTTCCGTTCTTACCCTTTTAATTCTGAAAGAATAATGTATCTGATAGTCTGGTACACACAACAAATGCAGTGCAAACCCTCAGAAAAGGCGTCTCCTTGACTTAAGAGTATGAGGAATGCCCGTGGAAGGTGAATATTTCTTTAAGGCTCTAATCTATTCTCCAGCTTCCAGTTCCCTTGCCTGTTTCTGCCTTGCTGTGGTTCTGGAAAGGGCAGTGTCTGTAGGGGACCAGTCCCAGTCAGGGATATTGCAGACCCCCTCCCTGAATGTAGGTCTTTTTATTGAAAACATCAACGACAAAAAAGCCCTTTGATTTGCAGAGATACCAAGGAGGCTGATGGCGTTCTACACAGCTGATCGATGAGAAGTAAGCCTGGTGCTTATTTTATTAAAGTTGAATTTTGTTTAATAATTAAGTAAGGTTGGAACATATTAGATGACTTGAATTTGTTGTTTGGTATTGACTTCAGGTCCTCCTCCTCCTCCTCCCTTCCTGCATGTCCCGATAAGCTTCCTCATCACAGGAGTTCTGGATGTAGACATGTGTTCCTGGACCGCTCTCTTAAGCACTGCCGAAAGCACAATGCGAGAAAGGCCACGGGTTAGTAATGGTCTGTTGGCAATTATTTCTTTGCGATTCTAGCAAGTTGGTCTAGCAGAGCCAGTCGTGTGTTTTCCCCCCACTCTCGAATCTGGGCTCGTGCAGAGGACCATCTGGTCACGGCGCGTTCGTGGGAAACTGCTGGGCATGGTGGCTCCCAAACTAGGACAATCTGGTAGCGTTCACCCATCACCATATGCAGGGTTCAAGTTTTCAGCATGTGTTGGAAAACATGGGGGAAGCCGTACAGCCCCAAATGCACTGGAAACCTAGCTCCTTTGTGTGATGTTGGATGTGACAGCAAGCTTGGCACAGGCTGGGCTTCTCTCATGCAGGCTTCTGAGATGGTTTGACCATGGGCTTGAACCTTCTTTGAATAGATCTTCCCTGTTACCATATAGGGAGGGTTCTTCTGTACATAGAGGAGATGATTACTGAAAATGTGATGCCCCACCTCAATAATAATTAGAAGTCTGACACAGAGAGAGAGAGATTAGATTGTAAGAATTAGTGCTGTCATGTTCCCTGAAAGGTTAACAAATCTATAAACATAGCAGATGTACAGTACCAACAGCCCCAAGGTTACACAGAACTTGCAGCTCCTTCTCAGCCGTTTAGTACACATCTAATGGGCACATCAGAACACTGTTAGGTTTTGGGGTTGGTGCAAATTCTCCAATAATTTAACCTATCTAGTTGGCAGTACCTGTATTTTTGTCAACATGAAGAATTGCATTTGATTTATTTTTAGCCCTAATTTGGATTTCTCCCTTTTTAACATACAGCACTTTGCATGACAATAGCAGTTTTCCTGGCATTTAATGCTCTTTTCTTCTTCTTAGGAAAAAGAAACTGTCATTAATTTTCATGGGCGGGGGACGGGGAGAGGAGTGCCTCATCTAAATGTATAAAAGATTTACATCAGATTCAGAAAGGTCTGGTTGAATGATGGCCTTCCCTACCTTTTCCCAATGCCTGACAGTGATCTGAGATGGCTTCATCACCACCCCACCCCAAAGATTTCCACACGTGGACATGACATTTGGATTTAGGAACTTAGGAAGCGGAGTTTGGCCAAGGTTTCATCAAGCTCAGTGTTGTCAACACTGCTCAGCTGTGGCTCTCTAGGATTTCAGGCAAGATCCAATCCTTCTTGGAAATACTGGGGATTGAACCCAGAATCTTCTGCATGCTCTACCCCTTGCCCAACACAATCTTATTGAATTCTCCATTTCCAGCTTACTTGGGTTTTTAGGGAAATACTGTTCTCTACAGCTCTTTTCAAGCATTCAGAAACAGGCTGCGATAACCGTGCACTAGAAAGGAGTGCTATGGCTAAGAGAAAGGTAGTGGGGAAGATGACCTGAAATAGGCCAAAAACAATGTATCATGCAAGCTGCCAACTGATGCAGGAATCCCAGTCCCCGATAGATTCAAAACACAAAACAGTTTGGATTGAAAATAAAGCCTTATTTGCTTCATTTAATCTACCAAAATGTATCTGGAAAAAATGTTCTGCTGCAGCAAGCAGTGCTTTGAATTATTACAAAATTCTTTCTGTATAAAATAAAGAGGATACGTAATCTCATAAATGGCTTGAACAAATCCTTCCAAAAAGACTGTGGTTTACAGGAGAGGTAAAAATAAACTATTTACATCTTGCTTATTAATTTCCAAAGGCTGAGGATGAGCAGAAAGGGAATTGCTCTGAATAATGGCAGAGTTACAAATCAGCTTAAATTCATAAATGCAAAATCTACTGAACCTGCAAAATCTGTTTATTTAACTTATTTCTCGAGGAAGGCAATGGCAAGCAAAGAGCTATCTCGTGCGTTCACAATGCTCCTTGATTCTACACTTAAACTCTGAATTGGGCATTGTTGAGTGAAGGGATAATGAGATGCATCATTAAGGCTGTGGTGCTGAGCTCAATTACTTGGGAGTAAGCTCCCTTGGATCCAATGAGGCTTACTGCTAAGTAAATATGCGTAGGCTTCCACTGCAACCTCTCTCTTGTTTTATAAGAAACTATAAATTAGAATTGTGCAAGGCTTCTGTTCAAATGTTGACATGTATGCATGTCAAGCTCTAGCTTAACAAGCAATCTGAATAAAATGTAAAAAGCCAAGAAAATTTAGAAGCGTGGTAAATAAGTGGAAGTCTTCTTTTTAATTAATTAACCTCTTGTGATTAGCTGTTTAGATTAAGGTTCGGGGAGAGTGTCAGGAAACATGGAAAACCTTTCCCTGCATCACCGAGAAACATGTAACATTAAACAATTCCCTTAAACCAAATTGAACTGAGGCATGCCTTGCTGGGCACAGCAATTGAATTAAGGGTACAATGGTGGAATGGATTTTTTACTCTTTGGAATGACTTTCTTTTGCTACATTTTTACATTCAGCTATCTTTCACGTACTTCTGTTTTCTGTTCATTGTCGTGCTCCGTACAATTAGTCAATGGATGTTGGGGTGTAACATTCTTATAATCTGCTAATCCCCCCCCAAAAAAAATACTGCAAAATCTTTGTGTGTTTGCGTGCAGCACCCTAGTATTAAATCACAGTGGTTCTCTATTTATACATTAGAGCCCCGATCCAGCAAGAGAGACTCTCATGTGGAAGCAGGTTTCCCTTTGTTGATCTTCTTTTAGACCAAATCCTTCATGAGTCACAAGACCTGCATGGATACTTGCAGGATCATTGAAGCCAACACCAAGCTTGCCATCCTCTAAAAGCACCAATCATCTGTTTTGGGTGACAAAGATGAATCTGGGTCCCCCTATCAAATTTAAGCTATCAAGACCAATGCCACCATCTGTGTAGGTACATCCTGGGAAATCATCACGTCCAGCAGCCTCATGCTGAACATGATGGTCTCTCAGTTGGGGCTGCTGTCCTGAAGAGCTACAACCCCAGAGGATCAACTGCATCTTGATGGCATGGCCTATTCTGAAGGTCAAGATACAGGTCTCTGGAAATACAATATGCCACACCTGTCTAGAAATATCTGCATACAGAGGAGGGGTTTTTTTAACCTTCTTTTTTCAATAGCCCCTCTCATCTGTGCCATATTAGAAGTTGGTTTCTGAAATCCCACTGAGTTTCAGAAAGAGCTTCTGAAACCATGGAGGTCATTAAAAAAACAAATCAACATCCCTTCTGAGCACCAGTCAGGCAGATCCTAAGATCCTACAGGGAGATGCTACAAAGAAGGTCAGAATTAAGACTTCATATTCTCCCATATAACATTATCTCTGTCATAAAACAATTTCAGGATCCAGGTGCCAGTGATACTTTATTAGATGCCCAGGCAATCAGATGCCCAATATTTTATTTTGATTATTTATTCCTCCTGCAGTTCTTTCTGACTTCACGAAGTGCTTTATGATCCTGACCTCGCTTCTCTCCCCAACTGTCTTTCAAGGTAATTTGGGTTGAGGGACAGAGACTCCCTCAAGACCGCAAAGTGAAATGGACAGCTGTGGAGAGATGCAACCAATGTGGGGCTCTGGTACCTCAACCCCAAATGGTTCTTCTGGGATATCAAATGATGTGTAAAGTACCTGTTAGTTATTAATCCTTTCTGTTATTACTGCTTTGAAAGGTCATAGACTTGGAGAATTGGAAGGAACCAAGAGGGTCATCCTGTCCCCTGCAATGCAATGCAGGTATATTTTGGCCTAATGTGGGGCTCAAACCCACAACCCTGAAATTATGAATCTCATGCTCTACCGACTGAGCTGTCTGGTTGTCATGCCTAACATAAGCTTACCGTCAGTTGCGGTCATCCAGCATTAGCTTGCCTTTTCCCAGTGAATGCTGCTGACCAGCAGGAAGCAGCAGCAACTGCTCCTTTCCACTAATCTGCTGTTGCTGTTTATTCACTCAGAGGCAGTGGAGGTTCGTGCCCATTGGGGACTGGTAGGGTGGACAGTAGGGAGGCCAACAGTAGGTGGCACCAGAGCAAACAGCAGGTAGCACCACAGCCAATGATAGGCAGAGGGAGAGCCAACTAGTTCCAGGTTTTGCCCCATTTCCCTTGCGGAGTTCTTCCAAATAAGGCAACACAGACTAAGGAGGAGGAGGAGGCAGCCAATGCTACCCCCTAGATATGCTGCAGGTAATGATGTAAGCAGATGGGAGCTGGCTGAATACAGAGTGATCTTGGTGGGGCAACCTCCACTGAACAGAGCAGACAAACAGGAAGCTATTGCGGTGAAAGGAAGTGGCAAGATCTGGAGGCTGTGGGGTCTCTGCTGGGCCGTGAGGCTCAGTACATGGCCAATGTTGCTGAAGCTTGACATCAGCCTTGATGGATGCTTCTTCTTCTTCTTCTTCTTCTTCTTCTTCTTCTTCTTCTTCTTCTTCTTCACCTAAAAGTATGCAGTGGAGACCTCCTCTTTCTATTCACCCCAAAACATCCTTTAGAGCAAGGGGGGGATCTGTAGCCCTTCAGATGTTGCTGGACTCCTAGCCCCATCATCCCTACGCCTTGGTTATGTCATTGGGGCGAGTTGGAGTCCAACACTGCATGCAGAATCATAGGTTCCCTACCTGTGCTTGCAAGACTGGCCACATGAGGAAAGGAGCATTTTTATTTTCCTGGTTTTTGAGGACTTACCTGCACCACAGACTTAAGCTCTGTCCATGTGTTCAGAAGACCATGTGCGGGTACGCATGAAGTGTGTTGGAGGAGAGGATAATCGTGCCTTCCCTGCCTGCCCCAGCCCAACATTCCTGCATTGAACAGCGAAATCCGAAAGGGCGGTCTATTGTGCATTTGGCTGGAGACACCTCCCTGCATTATCAAAGTTCCCAGCTTCGAACAGCTTCTAAGGATGCTCAGCTGAGCAGCACCCTCCAGTCATTCCTGCTCAGCATAGGAATGTTGTGGGCAAGGCAGCAGGTGTACCCAGCCCATAAGCGGACACTTGGGGTGAGACTAGAGCATGCCTGCCCTTCACCCCCTTGATATCTACCTCCCTTCTTGAATGCATGAGGAAGGTCTATGCTCACTGAATCATCATTGCCTCCCTCAAGGGAACCCTGGGAACTTCGGTTTTGTGAAGTGGAGTTGGGATCTCCAACTGCAACTTCTCAGCTAACCAAACGACAGTTCCCAAGCCAGTGTGGTGCCATGGTTAAGAGCGGTAGTCTCGTAATCTGGTGAACAGGGTTCGCTTCCCCGCTCCTCCACATGCAGCTGCTGGGCTAGTCACACTTCTCTGAAGTCTCTCAGCCTCACTCACCTCACAGAGTGTTTGTTGTGGGGGAGGAAGGGAAAGGAGAATGTTAGCCGTTTTGAGACTCCTTAGGGTACTGATAAAGTGGGATATCAAATCTAAATCCAAACTCTTCTTCGGGGAATGTTTTTGGTGTAGATATATACCTCTGACTGAAAGCCTTGATTTTGCAAGACTGTCTTTCAGAAGCACCTTTTCTGTTGTGCATTATTTCCAAAATAGAAAATACTTGAGGCAACCCTTAGAAGTCAAGAGGTATAAATATTCTGAAAGGGAGAAGTGGACAATTGTGACTTATATAAAAGTCTATCCCACAGAGCCCCGTGGAATACTTGCTATGCTTCCATGCTGCTTGGAGAATATGAGAAACAAATTTATACATTTATGAGAAATTCAAGTACTGAGGATGAACTGGTGATTACTTGAGAAAGTTCAACAGTCTGAAACTCATGTGCCTTTTTTGCATTTAAAATGTAATTAGTTGGAATGCAAAGCTAGACGGAAAGTACAGGGTGAGAGCCTCAGTGTTTGCAGATTTCCTGGATGTGCTTGGTTTTCAACTGGTAGATGAAACGAGCATTTGGATTTATTCCATGAATATGGAAAAGCCTCACTCTTTGCTACTGCAGGAGAACCACAACATCAAAGGTAGTTAATTTCACAGATTTATTTTAACTCTTTGAATATTGTCCACAGATTTATTTTAACTCTTTGAATATTGTCCACAAAGCGCAAAAGAAATCTGGATTAGGGAACTCTGCACAGCTTGACAGGAAAAAAAACAACACCTGTCATGTGAAGGTTGACCCTTAGATTAACCTGCATTATTTCTTTCAGATGGGGAGAATATTGTTTCACTAGATTTTGAGGACTAGCTAAGGAGCAGTGCTCTTGTAAGGAACCACAATTTCTTAACGTTGCCTGGAAGATTTGTAGCCAGTTAAGCATCTTGGTTGAACAGGCAACTGTTCAGTCTTACCTGTGATTTAATGTTGGTGCTGACATACCCCCTTAATGGTGGGGGTTTGTTCTTGGGTGATGAGCAGTCTCTTTATTTTTCCATGGTAAAAAAGAGCCCTGTTTCATAAGTTCATTTAGATGAACGTCAACTACAGATTAATATTAGGCAGACTGAGCAGATTCGAACTTTTAAGCTTTATTTACTAAACGCAAAAGTTTGCTAAATTAGATCCTTCTTTAGGGTAGGGGTTAAGAATGTTTTTAGCACAATGGGCCTGATAATTATCTCCTCTGTACCTCACGGGCCAGGTTTGGCAGGTGGGTGGAGCCACGCACCTGTCAATCACCTGACATCACCAGTGAAATGCGCTTTGCAGACATGGCAGATAGACTGATTGGTAGTGCCTGAAAACACCCTTTTGGATTTTGGTTGAGCCAAGTTTTTTTCCTGCCCCACACCTGGCTTCCTATATGACATCAGGTATAGGGCAGGTGGGGGTGGCTTGGCTGAAATGGTCTTGCAGGCCAAAGGGCTTGTAGGCCTTAAGCCCATGACCCTTGCTCTAGAGCAGGCACGTCCAACAGGTAGCTCGTGATCTACCAGTAGATCACTGGACATCTGTGGTAGATCACTGGTAGATCACTGGCTCCCCCGAAAGAAGCTCAACAACTTTGGCTCCCCTAAAAATGCTCAACATTTTAGCCCTACACTCCCCCAAAACAGGGCTTTCCTCTCTTCAGAGTTGGCCACCCCTGCTGTAGAGGATGAAAAAAATTCTAATGCAAATATTCACAATTTTCCAGAAAACCCACAAAAATAGTGGAGAGAAGAAGGCTTCTTACCTCTCCACATTACATGTGTACCTGCACTAATTAAAACTGTGGGTTGTTTTGTATGTGTGTGTGTGGAGTGAATGTTGTTACCCTTTTGAGATTCTGCAGGATTCCATAGGAGATTTATTACATCCTAGTCATATTTAGCTTGGCATTACAGTTAGCCGTGCCAATGGGAATAGAGAAGTGTGTTTTGCCCTGTCTGACCATAGTGCAATGTGCAGACTGTTGAATCTGAATGAAACCCGAATTCAAATCCCTCTCCAGTCACTGGGTTGCCTGAAACCTCCCTTCTCCTACTATTCCACCCCACAGGCTTGTGGTAAGGACAAAGAGAGGTTATCATTGTAAAGCACTTCAGACACTGAAGGAACTGCATGGACTGCATGTTTTCCAATAAAAGCAATTGAATTCAGACATAGTCTGTTCTCAGATTAGTGCCTTGAGTGGAGCTTTATAGCAGAGCAATACCCTCCCCTCCTCAGACTACATTCTGCTTTCCAGTATCTTGGCATCCAGGCATTTTTACTCCTCAGTGAGCAAAGTATATGAAACCTCATTTGTTTGCCTTAGCCTCGGAGATATGGAAAAGAGCTGTAGCAATATGACTCCCTTTGCGTTCACAAAACAGGTTACACATCCGTGTCCCTTTAAGCCAGATGGCATCATCTTGTCTACTGTAGAGATAGGAAGCCGAAGTGAAGTTCAATTGCCCAGGGATGTTCAGTTAGGCAGCAATAAAACTGGGAAACAGAGTTGCTCAATTCTCCAGAGCATGCTGCCTCATGTGTAAAAGCATTGGGAGGAGGTGAGTTTCCCATGCATAAATAAAGAGCACAATTTAGCTGTCCAAACAAAAGGTGTGTGGAAGACACAAAAATGCCATAAACCTGCAGCACAGGGGCTTGGCTGGAAGTATTTCATTGCTCTTACCTTTGTTATATTCAGATTTAACTTCCTCACCATAATCCAGAAACTGTGGGGTTTCACATTTAAATGGTTTCCTTTGCTATTGGTACACAGGCATAGCCGGTTCATAGGAACGCTGCCTGTATGTTTTTAATCACCAGTGACCATTTAGTTTCTCAGACTGTATCTGTTAAGAAATATAATGTCCGGGGTGTATTTTTTTTTAAAATCAGCATCACCATTTCAAACAAATATGAAGGAAGGGGGGAAAAGTGTGATTTATGTGCTAAATGTTTTGCAAATTTGGACTTTATAGTGTGTTTCAAGTGCATATGTGAAAATGTTTTATTTTTCTACCATTCTGTAATATTGTTGAGTAACTCGAGATTTATTTGTGGATAACAGTGCCATTTGGTTTGATTTGCCTACAGAGACAGTGTTACTTGATATTTAAGCTCCTCAGGTTCTGTTGTGGATTGAAACTAGTAGTCGTTTGGGGGAAACAACAACTAACTGTGCATAACTCTCATGAATAAAGAGAAAAAAACAGATTGTCCTTTTTTTTTTTTTGTATAAAGCACTGTGTTGGTTGCATGCAGTTTTTGTATAAGGCATGCCAATAGCATCTTGTAACTTTTTAGTGACAGTAGAACTGCACTGCCTCCACAAGTCACTAGTATTGTACTGAGCTACTTCAAGAGCAAAAAAATAAATAAAAATCAAATAAAGTGATGGTACACTGATGTGTTGGCTGCTATGTTATTACAACCAACCAACTTGCCTTGAGACCAGGAATATTTGCAAGTTCCAGTTTAAAAGGTGTGGATGCTAAAATAGAAGGAATTGGAAAGCTTCTGAGCAGTACTGATTTGAAACCCCTTCTTTTCAGACAAGTGAATCAGTCACTCGGCAAGGCTATCAATTATGTCATTTAACTCAAGGGCTGCTGCTGCTGACCTGACCTAGTTCTTTAAGGGGGTAAAAGTGCTATCTATAGAAGTCAACATTTTATACTTCGCATGCTGGTAGAGCTCAGACAGAACTGTAACTTAGGGGTGTTTACACACAATTCCTCCCTCCCTGACTGCTGAATGCTGACGATGGGTGCCCTTCACACAGACTCTGGAGGGAAAGGTTTTCCCCTATTACTATGCAAAAACTATAGCCCAAGGAAGGTGATATTCATATGGGTCCCTGTACATCGTAAATAACATATTAAACTACTGTGAATAGTAGCCTGCTTTAAAAAACCTGTTCTTTTTGTTAACCCGCATGCTAAGGGGTGTACATTCATGTTTGTTTGTTTTTTAAAAATAAAAATGAGGCTTCATTCGTCCATTTGTTTTAATGATAAAAATGAATGGGATTTTTAAAATACATTTTTAGCAAACAAAAGCAAAATGAAAATGATTCATTTGCAACTGCTCTGCATTGGAGACATTGCCTTAAGGAAACAGGCCTATGTACAGTTCACACACAGGTCACTGGGAGAAAGTGGTAGAGCAGTGAAATTGACAGACAGGAAAATTCCATTTAATGTTGATAGCTGTTTGGCTATGCCTATGCAATTCTTTTAATTTCCTATATAATGGGGAACATTTGTCCTGTAAATCTGAAATCTGGCCTGTCTGATATCCTGCATATTTGAATATTTTGTGCCATTAGGATGGAAGAAGCAAAGTTACAGAAAGCAAAGACTGATTATCCTATATAGTTCATACCTGGTGCTCTTTGTTTGTTTGTGTATTGGAATGCCTGTAAATACTGTGCCAAACACACATAAGTAATGAGCAGGAAAACACGGCTGAGTTTCCCACTGAAGGTTGTGGGATCTTCATGCATCTTAAACTGCCTATAAAATGAGGAGCAACTTCAAAAGCTCAGCAACTTCAATCCTGAAAGAAGCTCAACATTTTATCAAATCTGGCCCTCTTTGAAAAAAGTTTGGGCACCCCTGCTCTAAGGAATAGAATGCCTGCAGTTTTGATCCCATTTGGATGGCAAACACCAAAGTTATAAGCAGCAGGAAACTGGGCTTTCCCACTGAATTCCTTGGAAAAATAAATGAACAAGTGCAATATAAACAAATGATAAGCAAAACAGAAATGGAAAAACAACAACTTATTTTCCCATTGCACACCAACAGCTTTAGCTGTTGCTTTAGGTAAAGGTAAAGGTACCCCTGACCATTAGGTCCAGTTGCGGACGACTCTGGGGTTGCACACTCATCTTGCTCTATAGGCTGAGGGAGCCAGGGTTTGTCTGCAGACAGCTTGTGGGTCATGTGGCCAGCATGACTAAGTTGCTTCTGGTGAACCAGAGCAGCACACAGAAACACTGTTTACCTTCCCGCTGGAGTGGTACCTATTTATCTACTTGTACTTGATGTGTTTTTGAACTGCTAGGTGGGCAGAATCTGGGACCGAACAACGGGCGCACACCCCGTTGTAGGGATTTGAATTGCCGACCTTCCAATCGGCAAGCCCTAGGCTCTGTGGTTTAGACCACAGCGCCACCCATGTCCATTTAGCTGTTGCTTTACATATGCACAAATAGGCAACATAATCCAGATTCTTCTGGATGGGCCCTCCAATTTACATGCTGCTGGTTGTGTACATTTGTAAGATTATACAACTGCCCAATATGTCTTCCGTGAATCTGAAGGCCTGTTGCCCGCGTGATGCTATTTACTGGCAACTCTAGATTTCTCCAAGGCAAGCCGGTGACCCATCAGTGGTTACTGATGTTATTGACAGCCCTTGCTCAGTGCTTTCAGTTGCAATATCCACACAATGCCTCATAAGATCCTGTTGCAAATTGGCTCTTGACGTTTTGAGAACAAGCAGAGCCACCCACCCACCATCTGGTCACAGCCTTATTCTATATTCAGTGATTCACACATCACTGAATAGGCTTAACATTTGGAACGCGCACACAGGCTCAGAGAGAGAACTGGCCACGTAATGCTGTCGCAGAAGAATTATGCACCGACTGTGTTTATGGATGGCACTACAAACCACTTGCTTACCATCTTGCCCTTTGGGTGGTTAATTTGGGGAGGGTTTTTTTGTGGGGGAGCCTGTGTGGGTGGAGCTAGAGCCAGCAATGAATGGAACCGGGACCACCTGTCTTTGCCATTTTTTCTTTCTCTTTCCTCTTCTTCCCTACCTGGAAGGCTGAAAGGGTTGGAAAAGAGTGTTCTTTCCAGAAGGCTGTACTGAACACTTGACAGAAGCCTGTCCCCTCCGGCTTTCTTTCACATCTCCACCCATTTTTGCTTCCCCTCCATGTTTTTTTTCTCATGACATGCCCCCCCCCCCGCATAAAGTTAGACATGAAACCCTCGAGCTGGAGGTTGTCTGCCCCTCAGTGAGGTTCGTGAATGTGTACGGGTGGGGAGGAAGCTATGTTTGTCCAGTGAATTACCAAGAAAAAAAATAATGGCAACATGTAAGGTGGAGATGTGGACACGGGTGGTGCTGTGGGTTAAACCACAGAGCCTAGGATTTGCCGATCAGAAGGTCAGCTGTTCGAATCCCCGTGATGGGGTGAGCTCCCGTTGCTCGGTCTCTGCCTCTGCCAACCTAGCAGTTCGAAAGCACACGGGAACGTAAACGGCGTTTCCGTGTGCTGCTCTGGTTCACCAGAAGCGGCTTAGTCATGCTGGCCACATGACCCGGAAGCTGTATGCCGGCTCCCTCAGCCAATAAAGTGAGATGAGCTCCGCAACCCCAGAGTCGGTCACAACTGGACCTAATGGTCAGGGGTCCCTTTACCTTTACCTTAAGGTGGAGATGTGGGGGCTGAGAAACTTAAGGCCACCCACAACATACATTTAAAGCACTACAATACCATTTTAAACAGGCAGGGCTTTGCCCCGAGGATTATGGGAACTGTAGTTTGTTAAGGGTGCAGAGAGTTGTTAGGAGACCCCTATTCCCCTCTCAATTCCCAGAGTTGTTTAACAATCCATCCACACACGCCCTGGGAATTCTGGGAATTCTAGCTTGGGGAGTGGGGGGACTGGGGTCTCCTAATAACTCTCAGCCCCCATAACAAATTGCCAGTTCCGAGAATTTGTGTGTGTCTGCAAAGCCAGGACTTTAAAGCAGTATCAAAGTTCTGTGTATGTATGATATGAATGTGGCCTAAATATAACCCCTCAATGCTCTTCCCAAGCCGCACACTCTCTCAAGCCTCACCATTCCAGCTTTGCACCTTCCTTGGGTGTTTCTGCCTGGGAGGAATGTATCCCGAAACTATGATAACCCCTTCTTACTTGTCTGGATGGGGGATAGAGTGTGAGGCTTGGGTTTGAAGAAACAAGCCTACTGTACAAAAGTAACATTCACACTCAATCCTCTGCCTGCTTGTGCCTCTGTCCACCACTGATATATAATTTTCAAGGCCAGCTCTGTTGCACAGTACTTACATGTCTCAGTCTCTTATCAGCCACAGGGAAAGAGCAGCCCATGAAGACTTCCATTGGTCACAGCTCATGGCAAGAACACACCACAGTGAGAAAAGGCAACTGAGAGGCAACAAGATAGAAGTTTATAAGATTATGCGTGGCATGGAGGAAGTGGACAAGTCTTTTTCCTTCTCTCACAATGCAAGAACGCATGGACATCCAATGTTGGGAGATTCAGGACAGATAAAATAAAGTAATTCTTCATTCTGTGCACAGTTAGACTGTGGAACTCACTCCCACAGGAGGCAGGGCAGGCCACCAACCTAGATGGCATTTAAAGAGGAGGAGGAGAAGAAGAAGAAGAAGAAGAAGAAGAAGAAGAAGAAGAGGAGGAGGAGTTTGGATTTGATATCCCGCTTTATCACTACCTGAAGGAGTCTCAAAGCGGCTAACATTCTCCTTTCCCTTCCTCCCCCACAACAAACACTCTGTGAGGTGAGTGGAGCTGAGAGACTTCAAAGAAGTATGACTGGCCCAAGGTCACCCAGCAGCTGCATGTGGAGGAGCGGAGACGTGAACCCGGTTCCCCAGATTACGAGTCCACCGCTCTTAACCACTACACCACGCTGGCTCTCGTATGAAGTAGTCAACTTCATGCAACTGCTGTCATCTCTAACCATTAGTTATGTCAGCTGGGCCTGATGGGAGTTTGAATCTAGCAATATCTGGAGGGCCGCAGGTTCCCCAGGGGAGATAAATTTGATTCACTTCACATTTGAAAGAGAATTTATTAAATTTGCATTTTGCAAAACAATATGAGAATCAAAATGCAGCCATCCTTAGAAATTCACACGTCTGTGAATTTTAGGGTGTCATTCCCCAACCAGTGTTTACAAAAATGCATATATTAGGGGGAATGTGCATTAAAAATGAATACAAAGTATTCATGTAGATAACATGCAAAATGCATTATAACAGGGGAACTGCTTGCAAAAATGTGTGCTTTAGTCAATACTGCATACAAAAATGTGCTTATTAGGAGGAATTTTATGATTTTTCTTGAGGGTTTTAAATATATATTTGCAAATTGCTGTAGAACTCTAGAGAACTTAAGATTGGAAAAATGAAAAAGGGAGCGAACAGAAATCTACAGATTGTTCCATCCCTATCCCAGTGTTAGAATTCATTTAACAAAATGTAGTGAGGAAACCACATTTGACATTTTCATCTGATATTAGATTGAGTGCTTCCGTTTCTTTTCAGGGAAAAATGAATGAATTTTCCTCCTTTGAAAATAAATGCTGAGCTGTACAACTTAGCGCTTGCTTTAAACATACGTTTATCTAGCAGCATTAAACTTCCTGTTAACTTGAAGTGCTCAAAACTGCAACTTACAATGACGTGCAGACTTTATCTAGGCCATATAGATAAGCAGGTTTTAAAACCAACAAGAAATGGCTTCCTTTAACCTACTTGGAAGGTTCAAGAATGCCAAGGAGAATGACATTTACAGTGCAGGGGAAAACTGTTCAGAATTTACACCCACTTTACAATTTGTTTTATTTAGGCAAAGTTAAGTTGGTTGCAAGTTGTAGTCACCATCTGCCACATGTTAGACTTTGAGGAACACTGTGGGTTATCATAGCCACTCCTTAAAGGAGGGATGGGGAAACATTCTCAATTCAAGGGCTGCATTCTCTGTTGGGCAACATTCCAGGGACGGCATGCCAGTGAGTAGTGGGGCCAGTGGTAAAAGCAGGCTGTGTGTGGAGCAATGGATACAATCCTTAATCTTTGTACAGTAGGCTACATTCCAAACAGACACCTCTCCATATTTGTGTCTCTCCATCCAGGCAAGAGGCTTTAGCACAGGTGAAAGGTACATTCTAGTCAGTCAAAAGCACTCAAGGAGAATGCAAAGCTGGACTGGTTGAGTGTATAGCCTTGGTCGAGAGGAAGTGGCTTGGAGCTGGGACCTTGGCAGAATCCCAGGAACCAGGTATGTCTGTTGGTCTGCATTTGATCTGGCCCTGGTCTGAGGTTCCCCAGCACTGACTTAGAGGTAGGCTTCTAGCTTCCATAGAAGGAATCCTTCAGTAACACTAGGCATGGGGGAGAAATTCAGTTCTGTTAGTATCTGAAGGCAAATCTATAAAACTTGCACTTTCTGAAAGCCCCCTTTTGAAATTTGCACTTCTCCAAAATTTGTGCTATTGTTTTCTGACCAAGCAATGTTTACAAAAAAACTTCCGGGGTGGCGCCATCGGCAATGGCGGACTCCCTCTGATCTGGAGGGACTAGCTCCACGCGAAACGGGTCTTTTCCGCTACGGCGAAGCGGGGACCCTTTCAAAAATCACAGGCGGATGAAGCCTGTGACCATGGGACTCGGCGGGCACCTTTAGCGCCCCCCCAACCCGCAAAGGAACCCACTAACGGGCTCCGGAGCGAAGAGGGGGAAGTGGCGCGGTGCTGAGAGTCAACTGCTTCTTCCGTGGAGCGAAGCCACACAGCCGTTGCCGGAGAGCGCTGCCTTTTTCCTGGGACAATTTGGCTTCTAAAATAATCACCCGTGAGTACTTAAATTTTGGACAATTGGACTTTAAATAAGGACTTGCGAGCAGAAAGGAAAATTGGACTTAAAAGTTTATTTCAATTTGGCACTGAAACGGGAAGGTCTAAACAGGAAGTCAGCCTTCCGTTTCTTTGTAGATAGATTAAAGCAAAGACATGGCAAACTAGAGCTCAGAAAATCGCTTGTAAAAGATTAACTTTCATCATTTAAAATTGTTGAACCCTCTTCGGAAGCAGGAGAAGAGGGGGATTTTTTCGGACTGTTTAAACCTGCAGAAGTGAGTGTAAAGTAAAGTAACTTTCCACCGTCATGATCCTGGAGCGGGGTGTCAGGACTGACGATTATTTTTTAAGCTCATTGACCAGAGACAAACGTTTTTGACAGATAGCTAAAAGAAGAGAAACATAGTGATTCCATTGTTCCCCTTCGCATTTTAAAGGAACAAATATTGACAAAATATCTGAAAAAGGAAACTTTGTTGTTAGACTTGTCTTTAAAAGAAAGAACAAATAGAAGTTTCCCCCCTAGAGGGAGACTGTGAAACTGTAACCAATTCCGGGGAGCTTGCAGCTGTTACAGATTACAATCGTGGGAATAGACTTCTGACCTTGCAGGACAATGTATTCAGAAGCTCTGTTGTGTGCTCTCTGTAAAACAAATGCCCTACTGGAACAGCTACATGAGAAGACGGACTTGATGACTGATGCGATCAGAAATTTTGAACAGGCAGTGGGAAATTATATGGAGCCCACCCAGGAATTAAATCAGGAGTGTGCCCTGACAGAACAGATGAGGGAAGAGGATGTTGCTGAATCTTGGGCGCCAGAGATGGAGGGAGCTGTGGCCCAGCAGGAACATGAGCTTTTGGATTTGACAAATGAACTTGGAAAAAGCCAGATTTGGAAAGATAAAGTTTGGTCTGGTTTGGAAATGGGGGGTTGGATAGACCCCCCTATGCAGGGATGTTTGGACTTTTCAAGTCTGGCAATGGGCCATGAGCTGTGTGGGGTTGTGGGGCTCTTAATTTTGGAGGGACTTTGAAACATGTTCTTAAATACCACATGGAGTTTAGTGTGGACTATGGAAAAGGGGCTGATTTGTCGAGAAGGGTCAAAAACATTGTTAAGCTGGAGTTCCCACGAGTGAAAGGAGCAGGAGACAAAGGAAAATACAGCTATAAATATGAAGAAGAGCCGCAGAAGGGACATGGAAGGGACTTAAGGGCCTCGGATATAAGATTACCAGGTTAATGCGCTAGATTGATGGGATAAAAAGGACTGACAAAACCTGGGACCAGGAGGAAGGGACGCTGGATGAAGATTGGATTGTTTTTATTTCTTTTTTTATTACCAGGATTGTTTTATAAAATTGATGAATGTTAGAAAAATGTTGGAACGAAATTACTTGGCTTTAGCAAAAATGTTTAAAGAATTATGTAAGAATATTATGGTTATGAGAAGTTGGGAAAAATAAGATTTAAGTTTTAAGCTTTAAGGTTTTTTATAGTAAGATAAGATTAAAATAGATTAAGGTAATGTAATGACAGAATATTATGAAATATGGAAAGGATTTGCTGCGACAATTAACAACTAGGATACAAAAAAAGGGAGGAGGAGGAGGTCAAAGAAAGAAGGTAATGACAGTTGAGGATTTGAGAATGATGGATTTGTTTTTGAGTGTTTGTGGTGTATTTTTGTTTTTTGAATTTGTATTGTTTGATGTGGTTTCTTTTTTCTTTGTTTTTTCTTTCTTTTTTTCTGCTTTGTTCTTTTTTGTAATTTTAAATTTTTTTTTCAATAAATATCATTTTAAAAAAATACACAAAAAGGCATATATTAGGAGGTGAATGTACATAGAAATTTATATATTAGTGAAACTAACATATGAAACACATTATATTATGGGGAAATTGCTTGCAAAATTGTGTACAAACGTGTTTATTGGAAGGCATTTGCACTAAAATGCTGGTGAATTTTTGTGAGGATTCTTTTAAAAATGGCAAATTGCTGAAGAAATGTGAAGAAGTTAATTTAAGACTGGGGGAAAATGAGAAACTGAGAGAACCAAACTTGACAGTTCCTTCCTAAATAAAACCCAGGCCAAAGCGTCACAAAAGTTCCAATGGCAGGTCCAGTGCAGGATCTCGGTGAGGAGCATCTGATGGGGCTATACAGATGTGGACTTGATCACTGGAAACCCCATGTAAGAACAAGATACACATATTTTCTATTAATATATATTGATATATTGCATGCATGCATTGCCATGTTGCCTATGGCACAGCCTCCAATAACACGGGGTGATTTAATTAACTCCTGAAAAGAAAAAAAGAAAAAAGGAAAGTTTTTAGTTGGATCTCTCACTTGGATGATGTAATTTTCTTGCTGGTTTTGAAACAACACAGAGTTATTCAGACAAAAAGGGAAAGGAAAGAACACACACACACAGTGCAAATCCACCATCACACAGACCATTGCCTAGAAGCATCACTAAAAAGTTAAAATTTTCCCCGGTATTTATTACAGTACCCATGAACTGAGGATAAGCTTTTACTGAGCTTAGTTCTCTTTAGTCTATTTATATAGACTGAGTCCACAAGGCCTTCAAGGGACATTGATGGGCACTTAGCACTCTAATATATATATCTCTCTAATCTGGGGACTGAATCAATTACCCTCTACTACTTTGCATGGTGGGCAGTAAGAACGCAACAAGAGCCAGCCAGAGTCCTGTGCATCATATGAACACTGATCCAGAGTAGTATTTGCTTACATGTAAGATTGGGTATGTATTTTAGTTGTACATATTGTATTATGCATTTTATTTCATACAGACGCAGGTTTCATCGCATGTATATTGCAATTTCAGCTTGTTAAGAAATTGAACTGCATTCTTCTCATATTAATTCTTACAAGTCTGGCTGATGAAGAATTGATCAAGATTGGCTGATGAAGCATGGAACGAAACAGATTGGTTATCCGGAAACTCTGTTCCGGTGATATTTGGTGACAGATTATGTATATATTGAACTTTTGAATTATTCTTCCGCGACTGGTGAAGAAGATTTAGAGACTTTGGTTGTAATTTCTGATTATTTGCATTAGTCTATAAATAGTGTTTAGTGCCATTGTTATTGGCCATTATGTTGTCTTATATTGTTCAGCAGAGTCCTATGCAAGCAGAACCTGAGCACAACAGCCCACCTGTGATTCCCAGAAATTGCTATCCAGAAATGTTACAGTGGAGGCAGAACATATCCATCATGCCTAGTAGCTATTGATAGCCTTATTCGCCATGAATTTGTCTAATCCTCTTTTAAAGCCATCCAAGCTTGGTGGTCCTCAGTGGCTCCTGTGGGAACAAGCGCCACAGTTTTAACTATGTGGTGTGTGAAGATGTACTTTCTTTTCTCCAGAATCTTCCAACATTGGATGCCCATGAATTCTTGTGTTAGGAGAGAGAGAGCACCTTTCCAGAGAAAGTTCCATGGAAATCAAAAGTGATGCACTTTGGGGTAAATGCAATTAGGAGTAAGCTGTAAATTGTGTTCTGCCCTCTCCTGGTCATGTAAAAAGGTAAAAAAAAAGTGACTATGGGGTTGCACTGCTCATCTCACTTTCAGGCTGAGGGAGCCGGCCTATGTCCACAGACAGCTTTCTGGGTCATGTGGCCAGCAGGACTCAACCGCTTCTGGCACAATGGAACACCGTGACAAAAACCAGAGTGCATGGAAATGCCATTTATCTTCCCGTTGCAGCGGTACCTATTTATCTAATTGCACTGGTGTGCTTTCGAACTGCTACATTGGCAGGAGCTGGGACAGAGCAATGGGAGTTCACCCCGTTGCGGGGATTTGAACCGCCGACCTTCTGATCGGCAAGACCAAGAGACTCAGTGTTTTAGACCACAGCACCACCAGTGCCCTCTTGGTCATGTGTGTTTGGCTCCATTTTGAGGAGAACCTGTGGCCTTCCAGATTCTGTTGGACTTCAATTCCCATCAGACCCAAACAATATGGCCAGGAGTCAGGGAAGATGGGAGTTGTAGCCGCTGATTCCTCCATCCCTGGAATAAGCATCGCAAATGGTCCTGACAAACCAAACAGCAGCACTTCCTTTCTTGCTGTGAATGCAGCTTCCTGAAATTAGACCAGAAAAAAGTAAATTGATCACGACTGTTGTGAAAGAAACATGTGTCCCTAGGGTGGGGCCCTGAGGAAGTGGAAAGTCTTGCAAAAGCCTTTTTTCTTGCTGTTCTGGTAAGATGCGATATTTTTAGCTTGCAGTTAAGGAAATCTGCTCTTCTTGTCTACTAAATAACTCTGCCACTCTTCACCTGTGCTGAACCCTTCACTTGGGTTACTTGGCAAACTGTAAACAACAACAAGCCATAAACAAAGGGAATATGGAAGAAAGAAGAGGAGACAAAGAAACAGGGCAGTATGAAATGACAACAGCAGGAGGGTGTGCGTGTGTGAAAAACCAACAGGATTTTATATTTTCAAATGTTTATTTTTCTGCAAACGAATAGTACAAAACACAATGCAGTTCATTTAGCAAAATGCCTAATCCCAGACCATTGGAAATGTTTTCCTAACTTTTTCCAGCAGGCAGAAGTTACATTTGCTTGATTCCTGATTTTGTAGAGTATAAAAAGGAGAGACAAACTGTCTTTGAATAAAATAAAAAAATTCCTTCCAGTAGAACCTTAGAGACCAACCAAGTTTGTCATTGGTATGAGCTTTCGTGTGCATGCACGCTTCTTCAGATACACTGAAACAGAAGTCACCAGCCCCTTATATATAGCGAGAGGGTGGGGAGGGGTATTACTCAGAAGGGTGGTGGGAATGGGTGATTGGCTGATAGCTGTTGATGACTATTAATGACTGCAATTGGTCTTACAGGAAAAAGCAATGGGTGAGATGGCTAAAAATAGCTTTATCATGTATAATGAGATAAGAATCCAATGTCTCTATTCAGACCAGGTCTCTCCGTGGTTTTAAGTTTGGGAATAAGTTGCAATTCAGCAACTTCTCTTTCCAGTCTATTTCTGAAATTCTTTTGTAATAAGACAGCTACTTTGAGATCTTATCTAGAATGTCCTGGGAGATTGAAGAGTTCTCCTACTGGTTTCTCTGTCTTGTGATTCCTGATATCAGATTTATGTCCATTTATCCTTTGGTGTAGGGTCATAATGGACATAAATCTGATATCAGGAATCACAAGATTCCTACTGGAAGGAATTTTTTAAATTTTTGTTTTGACTACAGCAGACCAACACGGCTACCTACCTGTCTTTGAATAGATGGTGATTTCACTTCAGTGCTTAATGCTTCTTATTTGCCTTAAATATCCCTCTAACAGCACACTCATGCAGTGAGTGCTGACAGCAAGGGAGCCAAGACAGGGCCACTGAGAAACAAGAGGGAAGTATTAGTGAACCCTTGAAGACTGAACATGCTAAGAAGACAAAGAATGTTGAATGTGAGCTGTGGTGTGTGTGTGTCTCTGTGTAAAAAAAAGAGAGATGTGGATAGACTATAACATTTTGTCCAGTACAAATAAAAGGGCATTGCCTTGCAGATCTGGAAAAGGTTAAAACAATTCTTCTACCTACAATTGAACTCTGCATTCATTGCATCCTATACACTGGTGTTTTCACCTTCTCTTTAAATGAAAAACAGTGATTGTTTTATCCCAGCCTGCATCAGTAGTCTTCAGTTAGATGTCAATTAGCTTGGAGGAACCTTTAAGCACATACTCCCCTCCTCCCTTCAGCATTCAGTCTTTTCTTTAAGGGAAGAAAATGCATTGCATTAGAAAGACCAGAGAGCCGCTTTGTGAACTGAGCATCTCTTTCATGTGCTTGCAATAGAAGGTACATAAAATGTGGGAGGTTTGTATTTGGATCTCCCAACATTTCCCCCCCTCTTGCTTTACAGTGACCAGGAGTGAGGATGCTTTAATCAGAGCAACAGCTCAGAGGCATGGGCTGTTTGAACCTTTCACTCCATGCCACTTCCCTGATCTGAATACTGCTTCCTTCCTCCAATCAGAAGAGAGGAGGGGCCACAGTGGAATGCTGTACATCAGAAATGCCCTATGTAGGAGAACACAAGCTTTGTATGCAAAAGGTCGGGATGTGGGTGGCGTCGTGGGTTAAACCACAGAGCCTAGGACTTGCCAATCAGAAGGTCGGCAGTTCGAATCCCCGCGACAGGGTGAGCTCCCGTTGCTCGGTTCCTTCTCCTGCCCACCTAGCAGTTTGAAAGCACGTCAAAGTGCAAGTAGATAAATTGGTACCACTCCAGCAGGAAGGAAAACGGCGTTTCCGTGTGCTGCTCTGGTTCGCCAGAAGTGGCTTAGTCATGCTGGCCACATGACCCAGAAGCTGTACGCCGGCTCCCTCGGCCAATAAAGCGTGATGAGCGCCGCAACCCCAAAGTCGGTCACAACTGTACCTAATGGTCAGGGGTCCCTTTACCTTTACCTAAGCAAAAGGCCTGAGGTCCAAAGACTGAAATCTCCTGGAAGGGGCTGAGAACAACTGCAGTCTGAATTCCTGGAGAGCCGCTGCTAGCTGAGAAATACTGTGTTGAATGGACCAATTCCACTGGCTCAGTATAAGCCACTTTCCTGTTCTCCTGGGACTGAATCCTGGTAGTGCTTGCAAGAAAGAAAGTATACACAAAAAGTATCAGGTGTTATAACAATAATTGAACAACAAACCAACAACACCAGAACTGGCTTATGAATATAAAGAACAATTTTACTGGAATAAATATATACCCTCCTAAACCAACTAGACAATGAGCAAACTAAAGTGCAATGTGCATAACATGTTGCAGATTTGCTTTGCCCGTGAAATCATTTACCAACACTTTGATTTCCCCCCAATAGCATTTTTTTTGTTGGGTGGGTGATTTAGATCTGGGAAACTGCATGTGGGGAAAGTGTTGAAACACTCCCACCCCCAGTACTGCTGCTCCAATCAAAATATAATTTACCAAAGAAAATGTAATAGGAGATTTTTTTATTTATGTATTGCCTTATAGCCCACCTTTTATCTCCAATGCGTTCAAGGTGGCCCACATGGTCCTCCTGTTCTTCCAACAGAAACCCTCTGAGGTAATTTAGACTGAGAAGCAATGACTGGCTCAAGGTCACCCAGTGACCTTGGGATTTAAGCCCTGTCTCCCAGGTCCTAGTCTGACACTTTGACCACTATATCACACTGCTGTATTTCCCATGCTACATCTGTTTTGGCCCTCACAGGACCACCTTTCTGTATCATGCATCGCCTCCTGTATGGAGGTTGTATATGGGGGGGGGGAAATAAAATATGAATAAAGGTCTCATGCTGGGCTTTCATGTCGTCTTTTCCGGATAAATTGGCTTCCAAGAAAAACAAGCTATATGTGATGGTTAATTAACGGCAGTATCCTATAGGCCAGGTGTGGGCAACTTGAAGCCCAACTTGTGACCCACGTCTACTCAGAAGCAAGTCCGACTGTATTCACTGAGCCTTAGTCACAGGTAAGTAAGTTCAGTATTTCCGAATTTGCACTGGCCTGCCCTTTACCCGCAAGCACAACTCCTGAGATCGGCTGCCTTCTGATAATAGCAGCCTTGCAATCCTCCGCCAGAAAGGAGATGGCTATCAGCTCAAGAGCCTGAAGTGACGAGAAATCATGTTAACATCTCTGCTCATCAGATTTTGCTGTCTGCCTTTCGTTTCCTCTGCCACACAAACCTTCCTCAAAGTCATTCATAAGCGACACTAGCGCACGGTGAAACAAGCGTGCATTTCATGCACACCGAAAGCCATTTAGCACATCCTGTGATTTCCACTTAGTGGAGAAATAGTTGGGATTGGAAAACTTGCTCATTTATATAATTAACAATATATTTTATCAACCCTCAGTTTCCCACATCAGGGGCTTCACACACTATTCATGTTGCCGAAAAAGAATCCCTTTAAAGTGAATGAAATGAAATAAGATGCAAAGAGGCATTGATCTGCTTCGCTTCTTTAGTACCGAAAGAAGAGAAATAAAAATGCAGTGGGTTTTATGTTTGCTGTGCCATTTAAGCAGCTGATAAAAGACAGCACAAAATTAACAGGCTAGAAGACAAAGCATGACCTTAACACTATTCTTACAAAACACACTAACACACGAGAAAATTAGGTCACACACATATACACATATCTAGGCTATGTAGGTATACTAAGATACTACGATTTCTAAAATGTAAAGTATGGACATAATTTGCTATGGAGGGAGTAAAGAACCTTAGGCCTGAGGACCTCCAGGCTGCTCTATATGTGTCAGGGGCTGGACTGAGAAGGAATGGTGAAGGCTGTACCCCTATCTCCTGAACCTTCCTGAGAACAGGAGGACAGTATAGATTTAGAACAATGGTTTGCAGAAGGTTACAGTTCAGAGGCTTCAGAGGGCAGAAGCTGGGAAATATTGGAAGAGGAACAGCAGGAAGAAGAAGCACCAGGAGAGAGACAGCAGACAGTGTCTTTGGAAAGCATTCCTGACCCTTTTTCTTCTCCCAGAACCAGGCGTGCATTACGAGTAGTAGAGCAGAGAGGTAAGAGGCAGAAAGCTCAGATTAGCCAGCGCAGGGGTGACATAGAATAGGGACGACTTAGGGGGATGGGACTTTACTTGGAGCAACGCCACTGATGGATAGGGACTACAGTCCTTTGTCTCTCTGTAAATCCTGAATAAATTATGTAGCGCCTGCTCTTCTTGTTACCTGCTTTTTTGCCACCACCGAGGGAGGAAAAGGATTCCCTGAACCTTGACCATAGGACCCCTCAGGGCACCCCCCACCTCATTGACCCTGCTCTGCTCCTTCCTTGAGTGCTTATACCTGGCTGGAAAGAGCTTCTCTTGGAGCGTTAATGCTGTGAACTCCTCCATCATAGGCTGAGGTTATAAAGGTAAAGGGTCCCCGACCATTAGGTCCAGTCGTGACCAACTCTGGGGTTGTGGCGCTCATCTCACTTTATTGGCCAAGGGAGCCAGCGTACAGCTTCTGGGTCATGTGGCCAGCATGACTAAGCTGCTTCTGGCGAATCAGAGCAGCGCACAGAAACGCCGTTTACCTTCCCGCCGGAGCGGTACCTATTTATCTACTTGCACTGGCGTGCTTTCGAACTGCTAGGTGGGCAGGAGCAGGGACCGAGCAACGGGAGCTCACCCCATCACGGGGATTCGAACCGCCGGCCTTCTGATCGGCAAGTCCTAGGCTCTGTGGTTTAACCCACAGCACCACCCGCTGAGGTTATATATTTGTGTAAATAAACCATATATCATAAACAATGTCCTCCCCCTTTTTTAGAAAAAGTGGTGCTGTTATTCACCCTGACGTTGTGACAGTAAGTGCCACACTTTAAACCTTGGCAGTGGCGGGGGGGGGGGAGAGGTGCCAATACTGCTTCACCTTGGGTACCCCTGGAAAAAAAGCACTGATCATAAACATGCCAATCTCCACTGTGCCTCAGTTCCAAAAGGAAACACAAATCATGGGTTCAGCACTTAGAAACCCCTGGGATCTCGCATTGCTTGGAGATGGGGGTGGATTGCAAATATATATATATGGACGCGGGTGGCGCTGTGGTCTTAACCACAGAGCCTAGGGTGAGCTCCCGTTGCTCGGTCCCTGCTCCTGCCAACCTAGCAGTTCGAAAGCCCGTCAAAGTGCAAGTAGATAAATAGGTACTGCTGCAGCAGGAAGGTAAACGGCGTTTCCATGCGCTGCTCTGGTTCGCCAGAAGCGGCTTAGTCATGCTGGCCACATGACCCGGAAGCTGTCACACACACAATGTAGTTTATATATTACACACTACTGGAGAAGTGAGAACTGCATTTCAGGTCAAAAAGTGTAAAACCTTAAACCTACATTTAAAGGTAGGTCTGCTTTTAAACATGAGCTAAATCAAATTTCTCCTCCATGTCTCCCCAGCAGGTCAAACGTACAGTATATGGGTATGCAAACATTCTCCGTGACCTGGAGGCCAGTCACAGCTCCCTCCAAGACCACATTGACAGACTCTGCACACTTTCAGCTTCCCAGAAACCATTAAGCTCCAACTCCAGCTTTGTCTCTCTTACTGATCCTCGCTCAATCTGTTTTGACCTTGCAGCACTGCCTTCTGTCTCTGTTGCCACACTGGCTTTCTTTCATTAGAACTGATAAGACAGTTGCTACA